CCACCGCATACACACTCAAAAAAATTGGGCCTCTGGAAGTAATACTGAAGTGAAGCAAACGCAGAGAAGATTGTTTTTTATTCACATGGATTAAACGCGAGCTTACGAAATAAGTATAACTGTCTGTACGGCATGTTAGCTAATTTGTGTTGCATTATGATGCAACGTGCTTTAATATCAGCCTGTATCTTGTGTCACACTAGGGCTGACACTTTCGTACAATGTATTAACCAAGTTTTCTTTATTCAAATAGGAAATAATGCCAAGTCATCTTTTTTCAATGGTAATTAAGTACAATTTCTATTACTTATTATTACTATTATAGTCTCTGAAGTGACTATGTATTGATATATACTTAAGTACTTAAATTATTTATGTATGTCTCTTTATGACACACTATTCATACTTTGCCAAGTCCTTTAAAAATTTTTAAAGTGAAGATGTGTAAATGTATTATTATACAAATTTAAATAGTCTCGCGAGCAACGAAATCTGCTAAGTTTAGAAACAAGTGGGTGCCCGCGATTTTGCCTGCGTGAAAATTATTGGTTTCCCATACAAAATTTCACCCCTCTATTTACGCCCTTAAAGATGTTATCCGGGATAAAAATTATTTTACGTCATTTTACGGGACACAAACAATATCTATACCAGTTATAAACAAAAGCGTCAAGAGGTAGGTAACATACAGACAAACTTTCGCATTAAAATATTAGTATGGAGGTATGGATTGCAATTGTTTCGAGTATTATGTTCATATTTTTTGATAACACATATAGTCCAGTCATTACGTCGGAAAAATCGAGAAATAAATGAAAATGAACCGAGAAAGCCAAATTTTGGATATTACGTGGGGGATAGCAAGAAAAACTTAAGTTCAAATTGTCGACCAAAATAACCTTGTGCAATTGCCGCCATCTTGAAAAAACCCTTAAATTCAGTTTTTTCATCATAACTCGATTCCCCGTTGAGATACGAAATTTTTTATAGAATACTTTTTGTTGCTCTTTTTGCGATCTACAATTAAGGTTCCATGCATTTTTCACGTATCGATCGTCGTTTTCGAGATATCGATCAAAAATATCAAAAATTTGGGGAGAATTTTCTTTTTCGCTATTTACTTTTTTCTGGTGAAATATCGAAAAATGTTTGAAATAAAACTTGTAGAGCGTGTCCAGACCTACAAATTTTTCATTTCTGACAAAAATTACGACCTCCAGCGCGCCACAAAGTCGGCCCCAGCGCGCCCGACGCGTCTAAAAAAATTAAATTATTTCATTATTATTAATTATTTTATTTTTTTCGTCTAAATTATTTCATCAATAAATTTCATGTATTTGATTTCTAATTTGGCTGGTCTATGATTTTTTTTTGTATTGCAATAATTCCCTGAACCATTTTCCATCCATTTTGACGCGTGGATACAACCGAGCGAGCGGCTAAATGAAAACCGGGCACAGTTTCACTGACATGGTGGCGCGCTAGAGGTCGTAATTTTTGTCGGAAATGAAAAATAAAAAAACGAATTTGTAGGCCTGGACACGCTCTACAAGTTTTATTTTAAACATTTTTCGATATCTTTCAACAGAAAAAAGTAAATAGCGAAAAAGAAAATTCTCCCCAAATTTTTGATATTTTTGATCGATATCTCGAAAACGACGATCGATACGTGAAAAATGCATGGAACCTTAATTGTAGATCGCGAGAAGAGCAACAAAAAAGTATTCTATAAAAAATTTCGTATCTCAACGGGGAATCGAGTTATGATGAAAAAACTGAATTTAAGGGTTTTTTCAAGATGGCGGCAATTGCACAAGGTTATTTTGGTCGACAATTTGAACTTAAGCTTTTCTAGCTACCCCTCACGTGATGTCCAAAATTTGGCTTTCTCGGTTCATTTTCACTTTTAAATGTATATAATGACTGGACTAATAGAAATTTGAAATAGACTTTTAGAAATATCAAATTATCTGACATTTAAAACTACTATTTAGGCTACATAAGTATTGCAACACAAGCACTATTTCAATTTGATTTATTAGTAAGTAAGTATAATTTCATAGTGAATAATTTAAAAAGTACTATTAATGAAAAAATAAGTAATGACAGTGCGTCGATCTTTATTTTATTAAAATTAATGAATTTTTGAGAATATCTGGTTAAAGTTAAGGTCTGTTTGCACTGCTACATTTTCTTTATAGTCCGACATGTTGGTTTATAAGGCCTTGACTCTTTTGTCATTGTTACCAACAGTATAATATGTTGACATGTGTTAGCCCTAAATTGGTAACTCGGACGACTTTATTATACTTTCTTCCTTCTTTTACCCAGTACGTTTTAAAGGCGCCAATCTTAATTATGTGAATGAATAAAAATAATATAATTCCGCAAAGCAATTATCACGGAATTATGATTATGATTAGTGCGGTAGGTTGGTTATAAAAACGGGTAGACGAATGTAACTAACCATAGTCACGAGTTGCGTTACCAAGAAGGTTCAATTGGAATAAAAAAACCGTGAAGAATACGCACGACGCCATGTATGGGAACGTGCGGTAAAATATTTTACCGCACGCTCCGTATTTTTGTATGGCCCGTAATTTTGAACTTTCGTATTAATGTACACAACCTCCGAAATGCATTTTTAAATTAAATGTGTTGAAAAGTTTTTGTCATTATATTCACACGTTCATCGTTCTTCCTTTTTCGTTGGAAGTAATAAAAAAACCGGCGCAGTTTAAGGTTCCGTAGATATTTTTGACAAGCAATTACTTAATCTAATTAACTTATATTGTGTTCTTTTAGGGAATTTTTAAAAAATCATCTCCATTTTACACGTAGGGAAAAATATTTTCCAATATTTTATACTACCATTTTGTCGGCGTGAATAATGTACATACTCCCGGTAAGCAAAACCTCGGACGGACAGACAGACAGACGGACATGATGAAACTACAAGGGTTCCTTGTCAGCACTATGGAACCCAAAAAAAGGGGCACAAAGAAAGTTTTTAAAACGGAACACTGAGGAATGTAAGAATTTTTACGTTATCTGGGGACACAGTAGTGTAGACACCTCAACGAGCAAACTCTACAAGGCCTAACTTTACAAACTACATTTTAGTCAAAATAATTGTCTTGAACGTCTCGTTACCATAAGAACAATAGTTCTTCATTACTTTTACTAAAGAAATAATTGAATTATAGCTTTGGTATGAGGACAGATTTTAGTAATAAACTTGAAACTTGTTAAAGCTTGTTTTATTAATAAACAACTTCTTTAACACATAAATATATGGACTTGAATTCTCTCAGTTTCCTTTTCGATTCGGTTTTCAAACCAGCATCTTCCGCATCATCATCTTACATTCAGGTATTTTAGTATAAGAAACTTTTGATTATTGTTTTTAATATAATTCATGGTACAGCGCATATTCATTACGTGAGAGTACGAAGGCTTTTTTTTTTAATGTGTGTATGCTGTTGGTCGCAGATAACCTTTACAGCGTCACCGGGTTTCTACTGGGATCCTAAAGGGACCTTAAGCCGAGAATTGGCGAGTGCCTCTAGAGGTATTCCAGGCGGATGGTGTCTCCCCACGGGAGGAGTCTCCTCTCCGTCTGGAGCCTCTAGACCACTCGAACCTGAGGGGGTTGGCTCAACTAGAGGGATCTGAGACTCGGACCTCGGCTCTAGTTAGCCGTTGTCGTGGAAGTACGAAGGCGTTTGTACATCGTGCCATGATGGAAACAATTGGTTGCTGAGATGTACCACCAGCCTACAAACGCGCTGTTGTATTCTTCTCTTACCGGATGTGGCCATGTCCGGCCATGTGTGCAGTATGGCGGCCAGCGCGACCGAAAGCTTGTGAGTATTGCACTAGAACTGTATTACTCGCGCAGGTACCGTGTAGCGTAATATGTGGGTTCGAATCCCGTCTGTAATTTGGACCGAGTAGTGTTTTTTTAAAGATATATTCTTTAGTGCTTTTTTTTATAAACATATGCAATGCAACCTGTGACTAATATTGGCATTATTGAACGGTAATAATAAAACCAAAGCTTATAAGAATCAGCATATGAGGAGCTAGATGGCGCAAGTGTTTAGCGCGTTCGGCTGCGATCGTTGAAGTTAAGCAACTTTCGCAGTGGTCGGTCATTGGATGGGTGACCAAAAATTTATTATCTCGAGCTCCTCCGTGCTTCGGAAGGCACGTTAAGCAGTTGGTTCCGGTTGCATCTGTGGTCGTTAGCACCCGCCAATCCGCACAGGCCCGCGTGGTGGGTCATGGTCCAATCTCCCTATTCCATCCATAGGGAAGGCCTGTGCCCCAGCATTGGGGACATTAATGGGCTGATGATGATGATGATGATGATGAAACATGCATATGGCCCGCCCGATGGAAAGCGGCCACCATAACTTAGACGCTTGTGATGCCAAAAATATCACTGTTACCGTTGCCTGCCCTGACCCAATCCCCTACCTCGTGGAATCCTGGAACCTTACTCACCGACAGAAATACGACACCTACAAAAGGCAGTGTTATTTTACTGTGATCTTCTGTAAGGTGAAGGTTTTTTCGCCAGACGGGCGCTCCATTTCGAGCGGAAAACCCGCTATGCCGCTACTATTAAAAAAAATGTGAAAGTTTTTATGTTTCTATGTTTGTTACTCAATCATGCAAAAACGGCTGAACGGATTTTAATTAAAATTGGCACACACATAGTTTTATTACTTACCTGGATTGAGATGAATACTTTCTATTACGAAAAAAATTAGGGGGTTTTAAAAAACTAAAGTGAAAATAACGCGGATGATCCGCCCGCGGCCGCTAGCTTATAAATCGGTATTAACCTTACACTCAAAAATGCACACTGAGAGCACGTGGTAGCAGGTCATGCCACTCCTGACCTGTTTTCCACATTTAGACCATAGAAAAGGCTGCAGTGGCCCTTGTGTGGATATAATTATGCTAATGATGGTGATGAAAAATTCACATACATACTGACATAAGTCCTGAGGGATATCCTTGGTCACTCCTTGGATCGCTTTTGTCACATAAACCCGTTATAGTTATAAACGTATATAAAATCAGACGTAAAGAGCTATTGTAAAATCTCATGATAACGTATAAAAAAATATCACAACATTAAAAATTAAAGCACGTTCTGTCTGTTGGCAATATTAAAAGTTTGCCTTTGCCGTCATGATTTTCTCAAAAAGAACTTTTTTTAAGCAAATGACGTTAAATGTCAAAATTTTGGCGCGAATTCAGATTGCTTGGGATGGAAAATGCAAACTTATTCGTCGGTTTGTTGCAATGACCACCATGCGCCAACGCGGTCACGATCTAACTATTGTGTTAGACATTATACGGGCGAAAGGGACTGTATATAGATGGGACAGAAATGTACGAACTAAGTACGGAAAGAACCATTGCCAACGGCGAGCTCAAGTTCAATGACAATGTGTCCTTAATTTAGTTTTCAATGTACCGGCCTTAAACCAGAGTTTCTGAATTGAAATCATGTTCATACATCTGCTAAAGCCTCTAATAGGTACTTTACAAAAAGTCCAAATTCTGCAGTGGCGGGAATCCGAATGTAGCAAGACTGGTGAGCAATTGTCGCGTCAGCATTAGAAATTGGAATGGGTGAAAAACAAGAACAATTAAAAACAAAAGTATGATAGTAGGGGAATCTAAGCGGGGATTTTGGGATTTACTCGAGCCCGGTAGAATAACATAAAGGCAACTTTGCACTTTGGCAAGTACTCACACCGTTCCTTTTTTTTATTTTTTTATTTGTGTCTGGAAAATATATGATATAACCGTGGAAACGTGCACCCACAGGCTCCATGAGCTCCTCCATGTCATTTCATCAAACCCCAAAGGCTCAATGAAATGGCAGGGCACACCATACCTGAGCCCTTTATATAGGGTCGAACGAAAAAACTGGAGGGTTCACTTAACATCTCTTCTCAATATCTGACGCGCTCGAATATTTATTTTCCCCATTTTCTACCCCTTCGTAGGCTTCCCTCACACCATGCAAACCGGCAGATCAATATTTTTTTCGTCCTGAGAAACGTTACGTGAACCGTCGAGTAACTTCTATTCAAAAGATTGACGATGTGGACGCGACCATGGTTGAATTTGTTTTTGCTGCCTTAGACGTTCGTCATTCTTCGTCATCCTACATAGAGGGCTCAGATATGGTGGGAGTACTTCACAAGGTGCAAGGTTGCCCCCTTTATGTTATTCTGCCGTTCGAGTAAATCCAAAAATCCCCATGGGCTCCCATACTATAACTCATCAAGACGATCATCTTTGACGACCTCCGTGGCGGGGTGGTATGTACGCTGGGATTCATGGTGTCGACTCGAGAGGTCACGTGTTCGAATCCCGGTGGGGGCAGCAGATGTTTGTGTGATGAACACGAGCATTTGTACTCCAGGTCATGGATGTTTGATAAGTATTTCTATATAAATATATTTATAAATATACGGTAAAATATGTATTCTATCCGTTACCTTAGTATTCCATAACACAAGCCTATAAGGCTGCTTACTTTGGGGCTACGCTAATTGGTGTAAATGTTGGAATATTTATTTTATTTTTTATCAAGAATGTCGTCTGTCTGTCGCCTGTACTCCTATACACATAGGTCTATATTTAATTTTATCTTTTTCTATCCCGTTAGAATGTTGCTCTGAATCTACATCGAAAGTAAGTCAACTAAGAAATGTTTAGTGTTGCAAGATGGCAATCTAAATACAATGGAATTACAATTACATTGAAAGGAATTACAAAAACAATTTTGGGATTTAGCAGTGCGTAGATATAGGTTTTTGCACTTCTGTGCACTGTGCTTTGCTATGCACAAGTCCTCTTTCTGTGAGCATGCATCACAAAAATTTTGTGACTGCATCGACAAGCTACTGAAATGTTGGGGGTGGAGTAAATAATATATATAATTGCGCAATCTAAGTCATTTAGGCCCGTATTACAGAATGACAACTAAGTGTTGATCTTTACTTGAATACAGTTAGAAAGGGATGTCGCTATGTGCTCTGTGTGTTATATATAGCGACATCCCTTTCTATCTATGCTCAAGACTAGATTCTGAGAATCTTTCTATAATACGGGCCTAAGAGTATTCGTCATTACGTATTAAGTCAATAATAAGTAATGACGAATTTGACAGCATTTATAGGTGCTAGAGTAATTTCACATACATTATCATATTAGACACAATTCTTTACTAATAATAGAGAGATAACAATGTGTTCACACTGTTCTTGTGTACGAACAATATGATCAGCTTTTTGCCAAATTCGCAGAGACCTAATGATGCGGATGTGGGTATTTTTTTCATTCAAGGTACTTATGAGGTAGGTAGACAGCCTGTCGCTACGTTACTTTATCATAATTACTTACTTTGTCTCGAGATCAGAAATAGAATTACAGAAATAGGAAATGAAAATGTCCTCTTTTCCAATTTTGAAAGATGGTTGGATGGACAAGTCTCCGGGTTTTCCTCTATAAATTCATATCATTCATCCTCACATTATGGAACCGAGCTGGTCAGGTATGTTAACAGGGAGATATTAAACCTCTCGTAATTGAAATCAGAAAAAAAAACATTTTTAAGTATCTTCAAAGGAGATGTGAAAAAGTTTTTAACAGCGTCATCAGATTCCAGTATTGCAGAGTCCATAAACCACTTCAACCGCTACCATTAGGTCGACCGTGTGGTTGTTAGCCTTGCAAATATAAATAAAAAACCCGGTCAAGTGCGTGTCGTGCCACGCGCAGTGTAGGGTTCCGTAGTTGCCTGTAGTTACTACAATATATTTGAGAAGGAGTCTTTATTTTCTATACCGGAAAGCAGAAAATGCAATTAATATCAGTCTATGTACCTCAACTAAAATACCTAAATCAAAGTGAACCTGTGTCTCAAATTGATATTCATTTTTTTAAATACGAATGGTAACCTCCGATTTTTTTTGTTTCCGCCCAGGCCGGGGCGGGAGCAGGTGTGAAATTCTCATGGATACGCTTCAGCCGGCTGCAAGGTTATGTCATACTCTTACTGACTAAAACACACCCGTAGTTCATGCTTATGGTCAGAAGGGCCTTACAAGCGTTAACTGAAGCGCTCATCTCATCCCCAGAGAAGGGGATGATGCGATATAACCGCCGAACTTTTCAAGTGCTTATATACTTTTTATAAAACGCAACGTTAGCGTGACTCAGAAGTCCTTGCTGTTGTCGTGGTAGCGTTGTGGAACTAATGCTATTTTATTGTGGTTTTAAAATAGTTTTTTTAGATTTTGTTGCAATGCAAGGTTTAATGTTACAATAACTTCATCTATGTCACTTTTAATGTTTTCTTCTAAGGAATTTTCAATAGGTAAGAAATTTTCTTTAACCAAAGTTGAACGACTATTACTCTTAAACTAACTAACCTAACTTAACTAATATTGACGACCTCCGTGGCCGAGTGGTTTGTACGCCGGGTTTCATGGCTGTCGCCGACTCGAGAGGTCCCGGGTTCAAATCCCGGTGGGGGCAAATGTTTGTGTGATGAATACGAGCATTTGTACTCCAGTCATGGATGTTTAATATGTATTTATATAAATATACTTATATATTTACAGTATATGTATTCTATCCGTTACCCTAGCATCCCATAACACAAGCCTTATAGTGCTTACTTTGGGGCTAGGCTAATTGGTGTGTGTCGGAAATATTTATTATTATTATTAATTATTAATATAGCATTCCTTAAAAGTTCATGAAAATGAAAATTGTTATGTTTTTTCTGTTTTGGTATTCATATATATCATGTTGTTATAGCGGCAACAAAAATACATCATCTGTGAAAATTCCAACTGTCCAGCTATCACGGTCAGCCTGGTGACAGATATCCTGGAGATAGACAGTGGAGTCTTAACAACAGGTTCCATTTTACCCTTTTGGTACAGAACCCTAAAAAATGAAGATTAGAAGTATTAGATGAGGTCTTAACTAGATCTAGGTTAAGTTATTTCGTTCATAAGAAATACGTGTGAAATACCTAAGTAATTATAGTTTCCGAAATAGATCACATGTATTTTGGAGGCTGCAATTAGGTATTTCGTAAACACAAAAAAACGACTTATATTACATCACATAAACTATTTCATATTAAACAAGATTAGGATAATACGATAATGACTCTACAGCAATCTCTACAGTATCTTGCCTTGGCATTCCTGCACGCGGCTTTAAAACATTCAGTAAACTTAAATTAACAGATGATGATGTTTTTATTTTTTAAGCATTTAAATGCTAGATGTTTACATCTAAAGAAAAGTTTATTAGAAAATAATCCACGCGGACCAGGCAGCAGACGGGACTCGAACCCGCACCCTTCGTTATCCGGGCGAATGCACTGACCATTATGCTACCGCGGCCCTGATGGCTGTGTCGTGTCGTGGCCATTTAACAGATGATTTTCAATTTTCTGTTAAAGTATTATTATCATCATCTTCAGCCTGTTCATGACCACTGCTGGGGCATGGGAGATTGGGCCGTGACCCAGTGCGGATAAGAGAGCTAATGACTGCAAATGCAGCCGAGATCAACACCTAAAGTGCCTGCCGAAGCACGGAGGAGCTCGAGTTAAAAAGTTTCTGGTCACCCATCCAATGACAGACCATCGCGAAAGTTGCTTAGCTTCCATGGATCGCTAACCACTTGCGCCATCGAGTATTATTATAGTGATGGCAGATGTAGTTCCTATTTCGAATTATGCATTGTTTAGGTTAATTATAATTACCCAAGGAATATACTTAAAGGCATACTAGCTGGTCCAGCGAACTTCGTACCGCCATAAGTAAAGGGGTTGGTATGAGAGTGAAAATTTTGGGTTGTAAGTACGTTTTGATGCCAAATCTATGGCCCGTATTAAAGAAAGATTCTCAATGATTGATCTAGTCTTGAGCATAGTTAGAATAGAATAGAATAGAATAGAATTAATTTATTCATAAACATAGGTACAATAGTGATGTTACAATAAAAGTATTAGTCCTGTCTATGTTTCACCATTCTGGTATATGAATTTATGAAGTTATTTATATATTATTACATTATTTACAATACCTGTTATAACAAAACATTAAAAAAAAAAAAAAAACAAGTATCAAATGTTGAAAAGAAAAAAAACAAATAATACCTATATAATAATTTTACAAATGTCAAAAATTTATATTACATCCGCGTATTAAAATTAAGTTAAATTACATAATTGAAATGTCAAAATATCAAGTTGTCAGTAAAAAAATCCTTAATGTCATAAAAGCATTTGTCAATCAAAAGTTTAGACAATACAGTTTTGAATTTAAGGTCGTCTAACTTTTTAAGACTATCAGGCAATTTATTATATAGCCGTGGAGCCATGGTTACTACACTCTTCTCCATCATAGCCGTTTTACAAGGCAGAGTACGGATATACGGCTTTCTTGGGCGTAGGCGGGAATCTTTTTCAGGCTCTATTACTTCAAACAAGTTTGGATTAC